GAATGAATTCAACATTATTCTCTAAAGTTTATTTATTTTTTAAATTATATTTTTTTCTTTGAAATTACAATTTTACGCAAAGACACAAACAATCGGATAAATATAAAACTCTTTGTCTTGTTATATTTGTCCTATGTATAGACACTAAAAAGGATGTGGGCCACATCAAACTTTTTAAACACAGTTCATTTTCAGAGCCTTTTGGTAGTATTCTCTCTCTCTCTCTCTCTCTCTCTCTCTCCCTCTGATTGTGTATCTCTCTCTACCTCGCTGACGTTTCTCTACCACGTGACCAGGCTGTGGTATAAATGTTGACAGAGGCTCCGACCCCTTCTGTGACTCAGGTTTGGCGTTTTAGTGAAGTTCCCAGGCCAAAAAGGTTCCGGCAGTAGATCGTAATATTTAAATAAGCTGCTTATGGAAACAGACAGGAGAGCGACGTCTCTCACATGCTCCTGTCCTCTCCCTCACCTCCTCCTCCTCCTCCTCCTCCTCCTCTTCCTGTGAGTTTCTGAAAGGGCAGCTCGTGCACCTCATCTGGACCGGGAGTGCAGGCACGGCCGTCAGTGTGAGCCATGACTCTGAGCTCAGAGATGTCGGATGCCTCCATCCTTTCGGAAGAGACCGACATAGATGTGGTCGGAGAAGGGGAGGACACCGGGGACAGCCACACGCGCTCCTTCGTGGACGAGGTAGCGCAGATGCGCGACGGGATCCTCCTGGCCGACTCCTCTCCTCCTCCTCAGTGCCTGGACTCGTCCGCCTCCTCCAGGGATACCTACAAGCCGACGGGCAAGAACACCCTGGTGAAGCCTCCGTACTCGTACATCGCCTTAATCACAATGTCCATCCTGCAGAGCCCCAAAAAGAGACTCACCCTGAGCGAGATCTGCGACTTCATCAGCAACCGCTTCCCGTACTACAGGGAGAAGTTCCCGGCCTGGCAGAACTCCATTAGGCACAACTTGTCTCTCAACGACTGCTTTGTGAAGATACCCCGGGAGCCCGGGAACCCTGGGAAGGGCAACTACTGGACTTTGGACCCGGAGTCCGCCGATATGTTTGACAACGGGAGCTTTCTGAGGCGGAGGAAACGCTTCAAGCGGCAGCAGACGCAGGACCTGCTGCGGGAGCACAACACTTTCCTCCCCGCGGCGGCGGCAGCGGCGGCCGCGGCCGCTGCCTACGGGTACGGACCGTACGGCTGCGGAGGATACGGCATTCAGCTGCAGTCCTACCACACACACTCCGCTCTTTTTGCCTTCCAGCAGCAGCAGCAGCAGCAGCATCAGCATCAACACTCCAGGCATTCTCATCCACACACGGGAACCATAATCCCCGCGCCCTCTCTCATGCCCACCACCACGGACTTAGTCAGGACTAGGTTTTACCCGCAGCTCGGCTCCAGCCTGAGCTCGGCGGCTGCTCAGGCGTCTGCAGCCCCGGTGCAGAAGTCTGCACAGCAGCAGCAGCAGCAGCAGCAGCAGCAGCAGCAGCAGCGCTCCCCTTTCTCCATAGAAAGCATCATCGGCGGCTCATTGAGCCCCTCCAGGACTTCTCCGGTGCTTGTACCGGTCCTCCCCTCTTCTCTTGCTCCGGCAGCGCAGCCGCAGACTCAGTCGGCGGCCGTTTTACACCCGGGAGCGGAGACCTTTGCGGGCAGAGTGGTGAGCGGCACGAGCGGCTGTTAAATGTCTGAACTTCCTGACCTGTCCAAGAAAGTTAGACAAAAAAAGAAGTCACCCTCACCCCCTCCTCCCTCCCTCCCTCCCTCCGTGAAGGTAGGATTATTTTTGTATGTTTATTTTCTCGCACGCATCAGCAGAAAGATGGACGTAAAGAGAAACACTCGGTGTGCCTGCAACCACGCTGGTTTTTGTTTTTGTTTTTAACCTAAAGACTATTTATGTTTTCGTCTTATTTTGGTGCGAATCAGACTCTGGACCATGAACTTAAAGTGATTTTGCGTCTCAGGATATAAATATATATATATGACAGAATAAACAGGTGATGAATGATGACGTCTAGACGTGAACGTTTGGACTCTTCATGTATTTGTGTCAAACACATCCATGTTGTTTTTGTATCGATTCGGCAAAACAGGACGGAGCTTTTTCTAATTTTTTTTACAAGTTTTGGTTTAAACTTTGTATTATAAGACACGACAAAGATAAAAAAAATCCTACATTTATAATAATATTAATAATAATATGCACTGTGTGTTTATTTCAGCAATAAAACATTGTACATTTTTTGGCAAGTATTGTGTTATTCAAGTGTGATATTTTTTTTACACAGTTTTCTTTAAAGCAAAAACAAATAAATACCGTCTTTACAACAAAACAAAGTTTTTAGAGCGTTATTCTAAAAAAAACTGACGTCACGGCATTTTTAGTATAAATACTTAGTTGTAAATGCTTTTTAAAATATTTTTATAATATATATATTTAAGATTTTTTAAATAATAATCCTTCTAAAAGCAAACACTTCTTTTTGAAAGAGTGAGCTTCACAAATGACGTCACTGGTCTACAAATATGACTTTGTGTACATAAAATATAAATGGAATATAACATATATAATGCACATATACTTTCTATGGGCCTTTATATACAGTCATATATATTGTGTGTAGACATATATAGTCATATATATTGCCATATATATATAGTCCATATATGGCCATATATATATATGGTCATATATATGACTATATAGTGTTTTGTTTTTTTAAGTGTTGGTCACTGTCACTCTGGAACATGCGCACATTGAGTTCTGCTCGTCCATCTGACCTCTCACACGCTCATCATCATAATTACGCGGTGAGCGGACAGGGGAGTGTCGGTGAAGGGGTGACACTGACGGCTGATGTCAACAGCTGGGAGATCCGGGGTAATAATAATAATGTTAATAATAATAAACTGCATTATTATTATTATTATTATATCAAGAACTGCTGGGACGGTTAGTGTTTGATTTTAATCTTTTTCTTTTCTTTTTTCAGTACTTATTGCATTACATTTATCGTGTTTTTTATTATTATATATATATATATTTTCATATGTCATGCGTTATGTCTTTTCAGCGTCAATAAGAAAACGACAGGTGCGGAATTTTTCAGTAAATTTATTGATAAATATAAATACATAAGTAAAACACTGGGGCCGCTGCAGCGACTGCATGTGAAGCCGTGATGATGATGTGTCAGACCACTTCTAGTTAATATTTCACGAGTTGTGCGTGTGTGTGTGTGTGTGTCTGTACTGTTAGAGCGCAGCTGCTTTCGTGACTGAAGGATGACTGCGCCAGGCAGTCCACATGCGTGTCTGCCTTCTGCCGTGATCCACAGCATGGTGTGTGTGTGTGTGTGTGTGTGTGTGTGTGTGTGTGGATGGCTGCAGTGGTGCTCGGAGCTAGTTCACTAGGCCAGAGAAGGACAGCTCAGGCTATTGCGTGATGATGTAACACGCGATGGTAAAGACACCCTCTCTCTCTCTCTCTCTCTCTCTCTCTCTCTCTCTCTCTGAGTGGAGGAGAGAAGACGTCGTGGAGAAGTGTGTGGAAGTTCTGACCATTTAGAGGAACACAACAGTGAGAGAGGATCAGAGCCACTTTAAAGGACAAAATCAAACACACGTCCCACTGTGATCGATAGTTTACACTGAAGCCACGACCACGACGCACATTTGTTCTTCATTCACCTCGTCCTATAGTTTCATATTAGTCAGGCTTTAACTCTTGGGCTTTAACGTTGGGATGAAGAGCACAGACGTGTTTAGGTGTTTAATGGCGGCAACACATTTATAGTTAGAAACGAACGAACTAAAGAAATGTTTTTTTTTTAAATAGAAAATTAAACCAAAGAAAAAAAAAAAGAATAAGCACAACTGTAACTCAGCTGTGGGTCTTGATTTAGTCACTGAGGAAAAAAAAATTGTAGTAAACACATGGAAAACACGCTGTGTGTATTTGGCCTCGTGTCCTGTGAAAGTCTTCCCATTCCTATGGGAATGTAAAAAAATTAAATAAATAAAATTATAATCACAGTAATGAATATTATCACGCTGTCTTTATGTGTTATTTATTATTTACAAAATGATAACAATGATCAAAACATGATACAATCAAACAGAAACATACAAATAAAAACACAATAATGACATATTTATGATAATAACAACTATGGTTTTGTAATTTTTATTTATTTATAACGTGTTTTGATATAAAATCGTTTCTAAACAAAGGTAGGGAACAAATGACTAATATAATAACAATAATAATAATAAAATAATAATAATAACATTTTCAAAATAATATTTTTTCTCATAGTAAAGTTACTACTGTATTTGCAGAGACGAAAACTCGTTAAAAAACCGCGTCGGTAACTTCCGTTCCGTCAGTTCCTCTGAGCCAGTGCAGCACAGACGTCAACTACAGCGGGTTATTTTTCATGCGATGTCCAGCATCATGTGGTCATCAGGCTCCTGCAGCATGACTGAAGCCCAGTTAGCAGTTTATCCTGCTGGGTCACAGGTCATGAGCGCAGGGGATAAAGCACGACTCCCAGCCCATAAAAGACACTGGCCTTTGGGCAAATGTGCCGCGGGATTCACAAGGTGCTGGGAATAATCTGCGTTTCAAAGGGAGCCATAAAGACCTGCTTACTTTGATTTAAGCTCCACGCTCAGCAGATAACGAGATATTTTTATCCTGGACGAATAAGTAGCTTCAGTCCGACACCATCACCTCCGCTGGTCATTATTCACCAGGAACCAGGAACCAGATTAACCACAGTCATGACTACGACGATTATTTTTCAAAATACAAATAATAAAATGTGTTCAGTAGGGAAAAAAAAGTCAGATTTAAAAATTTAAAAATACTTTATATAATGAACTTTAAAGCAATTTTACACAACACTATTAATAAATAATAAACAGACTCTAACGCGCTGTTCTATGAAGTTTAATATTAAGTTGTTATTTTTAATGAAACGAAATTCACCTGAAAAATGACTGACTCTTAACTAAATAGTTACCATAAAAAACAAACTTTTAAAATGGCAGGAAAAACTCCCCAGTCCCAACAACATGTTATCAATAATTTATTGATAATCAAAATCATAAATATATCTCAATAATTAATATTTTTAAAACCTCACTCACACAACAATGAGGGCATTTAGTACAAAAATACTTTTAAAGTCAAAACTAAAAAAGTTGGAAGTCCTGAAAAATTATCAATAAAAAAATAACTATCTTGTCACAACCTTGAAGTTTGAAAGCTTTTTTTTAATAATAGAAAAATGTTTTTGTACCTTGACAATGTGTGTGTGTGTGTGTGTGTGTGTGTGTGCTGATCCAACAAGGCTTCTTACAGTTGTTGAAAGATGGATGTCTGGAAAAACACAGAGCAGGTTAGAAACAGAGAGCGACTTAAAAAGAATAAAAGATGACAAGGAATGACAAAGAAAGAAAGTAAAAAAAAAAAAAAAGTGAATACCTCCCAGGGTGGCGCTGAATCTCTCCATCTGCTATTCACTGTATGAAACAGTCAGTACACTTATCCCCGTTATCTAAAAGAGCTCCACTTTCCACCCCATTAAAAAGTTTGGGAACTAATGCCACCCCTGAATACTGGCCTAATTAGAGGCTGCTCAGAGCAGCGAGGACCTGCAGCACCAGAGTGGCTCTGGAACACACTCTGATCTTCTACTCTTTTGTCACACCGGCGTTTCTGCTCTTTCTTTTTCTGCCTCATTTCAACCTTTTTTTCCCTTCCCTTTTACCATCCCTCCTTTCTTCCTTCCTTCTTTCCATCTTTCTTTCTTTCTTTCCTTCCTTCTTTCTTTCTTTCTTTCTTTCTTTCTTTCTTTCTTTCTTTCTTTCTTTCTTTCTTTCTTTCTTTCTTTCTTTCTTTCTTTCTTTCTTTCTTTCTTTCTTTCTTTCTTTCTTTCTTTCTTTCTTTCTTTCTTTCTTCCTTCCTTCCTTTCCTTCACACATGATGAGACTCCCAGTTTGACAGAGGGAACACAGCCAGTCCACGGCCACCTCGGTGCAGACTCACAGGCCTGGAGGAGGAGACTTTCACCACTTCATGAAGTGCAAGCAGACGCATCAGTGAAGATAATTTATTTAGTTGAAGACGTTCAGGGTGGGGGGCGGGGGCCGAGGAGGGGGACGGGAGGTGTTTTTATTTGTCCTACATCTCTCTCTCTCTCCTCTTACCTCGGTGTGAACCCGCAGATCTGATCAGAATTATGTTGCTGCCTCTCACTGCATTTTTCACTTTTTTTTTTTTTTTTTTTAGCCCTGCGTGTGTTTGCTTTGGCACGCCATCCGCTCATACAAACAACCGGGGCCCATGGCTTATCCATCACGCTGGTGCAGAATGTGATGATAAAATAACAGGCGGCTTGAAACAAACCATTTGTTACGGCGGAATTTATTATTCTATCCACTTGAAACAAAGTACAGAGGTTACCTAGACATCTCCTACTTAGGTTACAACAATAAATACAGCCCCCCCTCCCCTCCCACCCTCAAAAAAAATGGCTGCAGCCAGGGCATTTTGGCCAGTTGGAAAGTCCCATTCGCTGACCGTTTCCATCCTACACATCATTAAGCATCATTGTGTTACCCTTCAAAAGGTCTGCCAAAGAAGCACACTGCTTGTGACTACCGGCTTCAGGCCTGATTACTTACATGCAACAACGCCTCTCGGTCATAAACACATCATTGAGCTCCAGCAGCCCGTTCATCATCATGACACCCACAGGTAATCCACACCGAGGGCTGCAGCTGACACAAGGCAGGAGCCAAACATTTCCTCTCAGTGGGACCGGCTTCTAAACACAGACTTCCAGCAGTCTGTACCACAAACACAGGAGTTAGACAACATAGAGGCGGCAGAACCTACCCGGTCCGCTGCGTGTGTATAGACAACATAGAGGCGGCAGAACCTACGAGGTCCGCTGCGTGTGTGTGTGTGTGTGTGTTTGTACGCGGGAGACGTTAACCGTCCCAGACAGCCTCCATGTTTAAAACTTCAGTCTTCATCCCACTGCTTTATGTCATAGAATTCTCAATGACGAGCGTCTTGTCACTCAAGAGACAAAAAAAAAAAAAAATCATCACCGCTGAGCCACCCATGTAGTCTCACTTTTCCAACCCTGAACCCCCTTCCTCCTCCTCCTCCTCCTCCTCGTAGATTTCCCTCTGTTTGTATATTTCTCGTCTTCCGTCCCCCTCTCTCTCCCTCTCTCTCCCTCTCTCTCTCTCCTGCTCCCTGCCTCATTGACTCGACCGCAGAGTGTCTATG